CTGTCAGCATTGCTCAAAATCCTGTTCAACATGACAGAACAAAACATGTGGAAGTTGATCGTCACTTTATCAAAGAGAAGTTAGAAGACGGTAGTGTATGCTTGACATATATCCCTACCAAGGAACAGACGGCAGATATCCTCACCAAAGGATTACTTAAGCCGACCTTTGAGAATTTGATCAGCAAGTTGGGAATGATCAATATATATCTCCCAACTTGAGGGGGAGTGTATAATATTCTAGATAGTATTTATTGATGTAGTTGGTAGTTGTATATTTAGTTGGTAGTTGTATATTTATTGATGTAGTTGGAGGTTGCATATTTATTAAAGTAGTTGAGGTAGTTAGATGTACTCAATATAAAAAGGACTCATTGGGTCTCTCGATGAATAAAGAAAGTATTATTCAGATAAAACACTTCTTCCACTTCTTCTTTTCTTCATTGTGCTTCAAGTTTGTTATTCTCTCTTTTGTTTTCTTCAATTTTCCAGTGTTTGTTTAGTTGTTTTCTCCCTTTTTTGTGTGTAGCACCTTCAAATATTTGTTTTCATGTAGCTTATCTTTCTTTTCATAGCCTCTGTTTTTTTTATGTAGCTTCTGCTTTTTATTTTGTAGCCCCTATTACAGAAACCAATCCGTTCTGTTCTTGTTTGTTTAGTTAGAACTATATACTGCTAACCAATGTTGTTAAAATACAGATCCTACCCAGGATCGGGAAGGGGTGATAAAATCGTAAATAGTGAGATCGACACGGATAGTAAGATCCTACTACCTAAGATATAAAATCCTACTACCAAATTTGTATTTTTAAATATGATTCTATTTTGTTAACATAATAGAATGGAGTCAAACATAAATCAAAGTAATAGTTCAATACAATCCAATGCACGAAACGTGGAAAGTGAAGTTGAAAACTTGAGCAGACCATTGTGGAGTTATGTTACTAGAGTTGAGGATGGAAATGGAGGGAATGTGAGTTGGAAGTGTAACTTTTGCAAACTTGATATAGAAGTTCATACACGAGAGTGAAGGCTCATTTGTTAAAGATTAAATGTAAAGGGATTGGAGTATGTAAGAGTGTTAAGGAGGCATCTTTGATGGAAATGGGAAAATTGGAAGAGGAATATTCTAAAAGGGTGAGGAATAATGCACCGAGATATGTTCCTTTACCACCCACTAGCCTTTCAGTTACAGCTAGTACATCTGCTAAAAGAAAAAGAAGTGATGAAGGAACTACAAGCATGAGTCCTATTGAGAGGGCTTTCAATATGGGAGAGCGGGAATAATTAAATCATATTATGCTCGAATGTTTTATTCTGCTGGAAGGAACCCGTACTTTCAACAAGCATTCACTTATGTTGCAAGTCATAACATTTAAGGTATTTAATGTTATGAAATATTATGTTTCTTTTTATCTCGTTTATTTCCCTTGTTTTTAACTATTTTCTGTTGTGACTTCAGGTTATCAGCCCCCTGGCTATAACTTGTTGTTAACTACTCTTTTGCAACAGGAGAAGGATAATGTTGATAGGTTGTGTATCCCTGCCCGATCTCTTTGGAGATCAAACGGTGTGAGTATTGTCAGTGATGGGTGAAGTGATTCCCAAAGGAGGCCAATAATTAATTTCATGGCAGTATGTGATGGTGCAGCCATGTTTTTGAAAAGTGTTGATTGTTTTGGTGATGTCAAGGATAAGTATTTTATCTTCAACTTGCTAAAGGAAGTAATTCAAGAAGTTAGGGTGGAGAAGGTGGTTCAGGTAATTACAGATAATGCTGCTAATTGTCAGGGTGCAGGACAACTTATTGAGCAAGAATATCCAACTATCAGTTGGACACCATGTGTTGTTCACACGTTGAATTTGGCTTTGAAGAACATTTGTCCAGCCAAAAATGTGGAGAATAATGAGATTACTTATGAAGAATGTAGTTGGATATCTGAAATTGTTGGCCATGTTTCAACAATCAAGACTTTCATCATGACTCATTCTATGAGATTGTCCATGTTTAATGAGTTTGTGCCATTGAAGTTGCTTTCTATTGCTGACACCTGATTTGCTTCCATGATTGTGATGTTAAAGAGGTTCAAGTTGATAAAGGGTGGTCTCCAAAACATGGTCATTTGTGAAAAATGGAGTATTTATAAAGATGATCATCAAGGAAGGGTGAGACTAGTGAAGGAGAAGATATTGGATGATGAGTCCTGGGCAGACATTGATTACATCCTTGCTTTCACTGCTCCTATTTATGATATGATCAGGTTTTGTGATACTAATAAACCTTGTCTTCATTTGGTTTATGATATGTGGGATACGATGATTGTAAAGAATGTAATATACTTGAAAGAAGGGAGGATGAATGGTGAGTCATCAACATTTTATTATTTGGTGTATAATATTCTTGTGGATCGTTGGACCAAAAGTTCAACTCTCCTTCATTGTTTGGCACATGCTTTGCATCCCAAGTAAGTTTTTTATAATTGTAACTTAGTTTAATAATTCTATTTATTGGAACCATTTTGACACTTGTAATTTCTTTTTTCTTTTTGGTAGATACTACAGTGATCTATGGCTTGCTGAAGATCGAAGTCGAGTTTCTCCGGACAATGATGTGGAGATTAATTTAGAAGTAAAAAAGTTCTTCAGGAGACATTTTTCTAGTGTGGAGGAAAGGGCTATAGTAAATTTGGAGTATGTCAACTTTGTTCAAATGAAGGGAGGTTTTAGAGAGTTTGAGGCTATTGAAAATCGATATACAATGAATCCCAATGATTGGTGGGGAGTTCACGGTTGTAGTGCACCTTTGCTTAAAAAGCTAGCTGAAGACTTACTCTTTTGTGCATCATGTAGCTGGAGGAAAGGGCTACATCATGTGCTGAACGCAATTGGAGTACTTACTCTTTTGTGCATTCATGAAGAGGAATAAAATGGATCCCAAACGAGCTGAAGACTTAGTTTACATACATAGCAACCTCCGGCTCTTATCAAGAAAGAGTCCTCCAAAATATAATGAAGGAGAAAGTCATTATTGGGACATTAGTGGAAATGCAAATGATGTTGGAGCTTTAGATGGTGCTACCCTTTCCTTAGATGAGTCAGAGTTGGAGGCAAATATTATTAGTAGCACTTCATATCCATACACTGGTTGAGGTATTTATCAATTTTGTATGGATAATCTATTATTTGTGCTTATGACTTTCCTTTTATTATATTTTGTTAATATGAAGTACACTCTATATTTAAAATATTATTTAATACTAAGACGTATCAGAACGTATCGAAATATTAGTATTTTTGAAGTAACGTATCGGACACACGTATCGAGAACGTATCAAAAAAGCCGTGTCGATATCGGTGCTTCATAGATGGTCACTTGAACAGAGATACAAAGACACCAAATATCTTCCAAAAACTACAATTAGAACCATAATGGCAGAGTGCAACACCTTTGGTCCGCGCAAGGAGAGGAATGAAGGTTGCTTTGCACAGGGAGATGGTAGATAAGCCACTGTCCAATCACAGTCACCTTCGTCAATGCAAACTCGCAATCGTCCGTTGCGCGCCCGAGTAGGTGAGGAGATAGTCGTTTAGGGACTTTCTGACTTAGGGTTTTTGATATTTTGGGTCATAAGTGTTTTTGGGTGATGGGTATTTTCTGGTCGTGGGTTTTTGGGATTAAAATTTGGGTATTTTGGGATTTTTAAACGACAAAGCGCAGGAATGGTAGGATCTTGCAATCCCACCGAGTTAACGTGTTAGCAAGTCGATCCTACCTGATTTTACCAGAAAAAGATTTTTCTTTCGATCTGAATCATGATGGCACCAAAAATCGTAGGATTGAACGATCATATGATTAAAATCGCGATTTTAACAACATTGCTGCTAACAGCTCCTATTCTTCATTCTTGCCTTATTGATTGTTTTTCTAAACCTACATTTTGATTTGTACCCACTTACACAGCTAGCTAGTTTGAATTGTCTTTTAGGACTCAGGTTATGAGTTAAATATTATTTTATATGTATAATTATTATTATTTTATTAAAATTGGAAAGGTAAGATCTTTATGATCCGTGCCACGATTTACAATCTTGCCACCCCCTTCCGATCTTAAGTAAGATCTTGATTTTGACTACCTTGAACGTGGCTGGTCAATTAGAATTTAGTGGGGGTGGGGCCAACGTGAATTGTGCTTTGGATATTAAATCCAAGGCTGGAATATAAAGGCATATCGGAACTAGTAAATAATTGGCTAAGAGAGTACCAGAGCACTCTCGAAATTGCTATATAATTTCTTTTTCAATTCCTTTCATAATCTATAGCAGTTTGTTGCTATGTTTGTTGTATTTCCTTTGATTCCATCTTCCTTATTAGTAGTTTACTCTTTAATGCCGAGGAGGATTTCATTGTAATCTTTCTTCTTATCAATACAAGTCTCTTGTTTCTACCTCATTTTATCACTGTAACATGGTTGAACCTAGCAGTAATCCACACGTTCTCTACTTGGCTGCATCTTGGTAAGGAGGTTAAGAAAGAAAAGCATATGTTTGAAGATGAAGTTATTGAGCTGAGTGAGATACACTCTGAGGAATTCTCTAGCAGGACATCAACAAATACATGATGTATCATCTGAAGTTTGAAAAAGACCCTACATCACACCTTGATAATAGAACTATCCACAACAATTGTTATGAGCACTATTGGAAATATAGTGTATACTAAGCAACAAGGAGGGCAAGCCTTGGGGCAACGGTAAGATTGCTCCTTTGTGACCGGATAGTTATAGGTTCAAGTTGGGGAGCCTTGTGCACCTGAGTTTGTCCTTTTTTACACAAACTAGGATTAGTCTCGGATCATTTCTAGGCTTGCCAAGAATGGACAACACCTAAAATTCTGGTGAGAATTGATTGTGAAAGTGATAAAAAAAGCTCGAAGAAAAGCAATTGAACTTGCCTTTCCCAATCAACACGAGCTTTGTTGACTCCATTGTGGATTTGAACTTCCTAAGAAGTGAATCTAAGAGAAATGTAAGGACTCACTAAATCTGTGCAATTGATGAGCCTTGCTGTCTCCACCAGCTGCTTCCATAACAGGAAACTTTTTATCATCAAGTTTGACTAATAACTTACGAGAAAAGAGTACAAGATATTTGTTTTGATTAACAACAGCTATGGAAGAGGCTAGATCTTGTGTTTTAGTGTTAGAACCATCAACAACTAGAGAAGTCATGTTGGTGTATTGTGGAGAGACCAGAGGAAAGGAAAGGAAATGGATCAATCTATGGATTAGGGCTCTCGTACCATAAAGGAAAGTGAGGAAAAATGAAAGAAAAAGAGAGAAAGCAAAGAGAGAGAGAGATTCTGGAGAATGTATCATATTATTCAACTCGAAACTTTTTGTACACTGGAACACCTATTTATAGAAGTGCAGCAAGCTTGCAAGGCAAGCTAGGAAGTTATAGTCTATTCCAAATTGACAACCAAGTGCCATCTAGGATAAAAACCTATAACAGACTATAGCAATCTAATAACTGACTAAATGCTGGAGCAATGATCCTAGGCTAGGGACTGCCACACTAAATACCTACACACAACCAGTCGCCAAATACCAATACATACAATACAAAATACAGAGATACAAAAATACAGTATGGATTACAATAATTGGTAAAGAAACATAAGTGTATATAATCTAATAAGCACCAAAAGACACTTATGGATTTGCAACAGAAGCCAGAAACAAAATGGGTAGTAGGTGTTGTCTTCAAGTTCTAAAGGGAGATCCTCAATTGGGTTAGGGCTTGAGTGGGCTATCAGGCTATGAAGCACCGACACTTCAAAAATCCTGACGTGTCGTGTCCGACACTTCCCGACACTCAATGACACTCCAATACTCGTTGCAAAGACTCAAAAAAGGTTCAACGGATACGTTGCGTTGCATTTTGAGCTCCAACTACTAGATTCGTTAGATTACGATTATGATTTTATTGAATTTAATATAAACATTTGGGATATTGCAAAATTGAAAGGTATTATAAGTTTAACTTTATTTTTTTGTTAAATTATTGAATACTAAATATAATATACACTACATAAATTGAAAATATTATATAATATCAAAATGTGTCCTAACGTGTCGAAATTTAACATTTTTTAGATTTAACGAGTCGGAGTATCGTGTCGTGTCAAATCTCGTGTCGGTGTAGGTGCAACATAGCTATCAAGTTATTTGTGCAGAACCAAGCTTTTGGCCAACATGGTGGGAAAAAGAAATCCCACCAATCCTACAAACAAGCTCCACAATCCCACACGACCACACCAAATCATGGGATCATACAACCCTACAAAAAGAAACACGACTTTTACTACCTTGGGAGGATCCGTATCCTCCAAACTCCTTGAAATCCTCCCTTCAATTATGAATCTATTCTTTTATCAAAAAAAATATGGCAATACAAACTAAAGCTTATCCTAGGAGCCTTACAACGTCATTTTGAGTATTATGCGTCATAATAATATCTAAAAACTTTTCTCCAAAGACTAAGCAACTATAGCGGTCGGAATATAAATATAAGGTTCCATGCAAACTAACACTTTGGAAACAGAATAAATTAAACACCAGAGCTCAAGTCAACAGAGCAACAAACTGACCTGCCAGAATATGAAGTTCGTAGTAATGGTCTGAGAAACAGCTTCATTGGCCCATGTATCCCGATTAAGCTTCACAAAGCAAACATTGAAACTAGTAGTGCTAATGCTGAAACAAACAATAAAGAAAAAATGTAAATGGAACACCACGAATATAATACCATATGTGAGCTGAATTCCTTGGTAGATTGTATGTTCACCAACAGCCATTTATCTTGAATGGAAGCAGCATCTTTTGCCTGCATTCAAAGACCAAACCTTTGTCACAACTGCATATAAGTTGCATGTTTCATTATTTTAAAATATATGCACTACCCATCTAGAGTGACCAATGCCACAAATTATAAGCAAGCAAATCCTATAAACTACAAAAATGGGAATGGAAATGATCATATTTCAAAATGAGTTTAGGGCATCAACCAGTACAAATAGACCAATAAAGATAAAATAGAAGTGAATATTTAAGCACTTCATCATATATACACATACAAGATAAGAATCCAAATTTGATTAGAGTTCTCATACTCATAGTAGTTAGTTGCGCAGCGCCAAGAAACCACGCCACGCCACACCGGAACGCAATAGCGGCTATTGCGATCGCATTTGCGGCCATATTGCTGTCATAAGGCAAAATGTCAATTTTGTCTTAAATTTAAATGTGTAAAAGCTAAAATTTAAGGGTTTTTTAGTCTATCCGTGTCTGTCTCTGTCACTTATGTTATCTCTTCCTTTAAAAAATGTTTATTTTTGTCATTATTTCTGTCATATATCTATTCCGCTATTTCCGCAACCGCAACCCGCTACAACGCTATAGCGTTTTTCAGGGTTGGCCGCGACATGCCGCAATCCGCATTTGATAACTATGCTCATACTATTAGACAAGGTTTCTTATCTTTTGTTCAAGAGTGTCATGCAACATTTGGAAGCTCGCCTATGGTCATTTCATTGTGTGAGAAAAAACCCAACGGAGGCTCTAGTGTGAATAGTTGATAGAATGAAAGATAATTCAATTAAAAGTCATTTAGTAACATCAGATATTTAGTCTCTTGAATATCCTCTCCAAAAGTCATCTTGTAAGTTGAACACAATTTTACACATGGCAGATAGAACTAGGCTGTGTTGCATCTAAATATGATCCTCAAAAAAACAACCAACTTTTTAAAATCATAGTAGTAATCAAGGAGTCAAGAGAGTCACACAAGGTCCCTTCATTGATTACAGCAAATGGAAAGGCTATCTTTGATTGTATGAAGTCATGAATCCTAGCTTTTCTGCATAAACATTAACTAGAATTAGGTTTCCAATTACTACATCATTTTCAACCCTCTGGAAAGTCAAAAGTGTGAATACTGGGCTTCAAGTGGAAGATAAGCAACTGGTAACAAATAGGATGAGAACACCTTTCCTGGTGAGCATAAAATTACACATTATACTTGACCAAAAAGTGGTAGAATGAATGATATCTGGACTTTAGGTGGAAGACAAGCCACGAAATGAATGCATAAACCAGAAAAATGAGAAGGTTAGGACTGAATTTGGTTGGACTAGAGAGGAATAGAAAATGTTCTCATCCTATAATGTATATAATGACTTCCTTTCGTGTTTACATAATTTCAAGATCTGAGAAAAAAAAAGAGCTTGCTTACAAACAGCTTATTAAATAAGCTTATTTTTGTTTATTTTTAAAAGCCATAAATACGAGGTCAAGCAAGTAAGCCCAAAAAACCAAAAAAGGATAGCAGCCATTCTATAATGATAAAAGAAAAATCTTGGTGTACAAGTCAAATCAAGCACCTAGATACTGTCGAGAATATATATATTATAAGGCTAGATTCTGATTTGGGCCAAATTCAAACACCAAGTATTTGAGCTCAAGAGGCATGGCACAAACAAGATTAAATATCTAAAATGTGTGCAATATTTTATAAAATTACATTATAATAAATTTAGATTTTAATTATAAATTTTAGAGTAAATTACTCCAACCTGTCCTTATTTTCCAATTTGTCACAAAACCCCTATATGTTCAAAAGCAACATAAACCTCCCTTAACACTCACAGACATCCCTTGTAAAAATGCACATAAATCCATTTAAAACATAATACACATGAAATGGACTAACAGAGCCATTGGGCATCAGTTTCAGTCCACCCCAAAAAAATTGTGAAATGGCAGAAATACCCTTATATCATCCCCAGCCCACAATCCTCTCTTCACCTTCAAGCCTCAAAAAGGTAGCCTAGATGCATCAGCTCTTCAACTCCATTTCCAGTTAAAACAGGTAGTTGCTGTAATGCCCTTCCCAACATCTTCCATTTCACAGTTATTAACAGAAAGAGGTAAACCCAAAGGTGAAGAATGCAGTTCATGACTTGTTTGGACACTATGCTCTGAATTTTATTAAATTAAGAGAGCTTGTTTACAAGCTTTCACCGCTGTACAAAATAATAACACAAAAAGCTAAAGCTAAAGAACAAGAATAATAAGATTGACGGAGACATCCTTATATATCTAATAACAGTCATTTTGGTTTGTTGACTGTTGACTTTCATACTGATTATGCTTGAATGAAATTACATGGAGTACATTTTCAAAATACAAGAGATGTATACATAAGTGATAAGGGAGGTTTGATTAGCTTTTAAATAAAGAGGACATGTGAAAAATCAGGAAAATAGAGGAGAGGTTGGAATAATAAACTCTACATTTCAATACTTGAGAAGTATAAAAATTAAATAACGTAATCAAGCTCATGTTCAAAATTTAAAATCAAACTTGAGCTTGATCTTGGTTTCGCAGGTTCAAGCTTAAGGTCAAATTGAATAAGATGATATTGCCTGAGCTTGGCTTGGCTCAGTTACACCTCAAACAGAATCCACAAAATCCAAACTAAGAAGCACATTTACCTTTTCAAAAGGACCATTGAACATTAGATGAAATGGAGGGCGATACAGTGAAGCAAGATTATCCCGAGAACTCTCTGGCATTGAAACAGCACCTTGCTCTGACTCCCAAACCCCTGGACGTCTCATTTCGTCTTCAAAATTACGAAATGCAATTAGAGAGCTTGGTTCTTGTGAACCAAGTGCAATCCTTGATGCTCTGCATAAACATGACAGCACACAACTTTAATAAATGGTTTGACTGTTAAAAACCACATACATATTATGACACAACAAAAGATAAACACGCATAAAATACTCAACGAGCAAAACTAAAAAACACGAAAATATTTCCAACATAAAAAAGTAACAAAGAAACATTAAGAAATATGCAAGATACAGATATGAGAAAAAAGAGCACAGTTGTAAACATATTGTAAAGTAATATGCAAGACAATCAAAAAGTTCAGATAAGTATATAAAACATTCCAAATTCCACCAAACAAAAATTTGCAAACATTATGCGTCTTAATGGGTCATCATCAAAAGTACACACCACTCAAACAGAGTTGAATCTTTCCAGTTATATATGGATCACAAGACTGTCTATCCAGCTACAACAAATCCACTTTTCTTTCACCTTACTCTCTGTTGTTCATCATTTCACAGTTCACAAAGGCTCTCACACACAAACGGACTAGAATCACTTACTATATGAACATGTAACCAAAGAATGATAAAAAGCACAGGATATGCATAGTGATAAAGTAATCCCAAAAGTAGTGAACTAATGAATTACATCTAAAAGCACTATACTTAATTCTACAAGGATGGGCCATTGAAGTTGAACTGAAGTGATATCAGGGTTGAGAACTAATGAAAAGCATGAACATATATGTTCAAGAATGTTGAAAACACTGAATATGCATCTCTACTATAACATAATCCTTAGATTTCCAAGGCAAGCAACGGAATAAGGAAAAGGAAAATCTACCCATAGAGCATTGCATCATCATAAAGAGTTTCCCTTATGACTGGTAAGGGAGGGCGTACTTCTTCTGCAACATTGTAGCCACTAGTTTCATTTGCAGTATCATTCCTTGGTTCACTAAAACAACCAGTGCAAGTTAAAAAGGAAACCATCCAACTAAAGATTGCTGAGTTAGAAAAATCAAAATCATAGTTTGATGCGGTGGGCTGGGATACATTACATTGAAGGTTGATCAGTCCAGGAATGAGGTGGAGTGTGGGATGAAGGTGGCACTGCTCCAGTTTCACTTCCTATCAAGAACAGCTGAAGAGCTTCTTCTAGTTTCCAACTTGTGGCCTGTTACACACAACATTTTATAGATCTCTCTCTCTCTCTCTCTCTCTCTCTACACAAATATAATCTATGAAATCTTTAATGGTCAAAAAAAAAAAAAAAACCTGGAGAAACTGTCTGGCAGTCTCAGCAGTCTGTCCCTGAGCGACCTCGAGGAAGGAAGAGACCAAGCTCTGTTGGTCATTCGCGGATAACACTCCTCCCTCCATTCAATCGGATTTAAGGATTAGGGTTCCAATGTGGAAGCAAAGGAGAATGAGAAAAATATCAGGATTCATTAACCAACTAAAGGTAGTTTAGATGGCCTTTTAAAGAAACATTGTTTATGTACCCAAAAAAACATTGTTTATGCATTGTGTCTTCTGGACCCATCCGGCCCATATCCGACCCGGCTTAAATGGGTTTGTTTTAGAATATTTCAAATCCCCAATCTTTTATCAGAATTCAAAATCAAAAACTTTTTTTAATATCGTGGTAATAACGAGGTTTAAACCTATCACCTCGTACAAATTATTCAAATCTCTTATCATTATATCAAATTTTAATGGCTTCAAAACAAAAAGATTTAGGAACGGGGAATTCTATTTTATAGTATAAATAATACCATAGAATAGGTTGAAATCACTTGTATATACTTGAAATCCTAATTTTTTGTACACATTATCTCACCTTAATTTCTTGATCCAATAAACACATTATTTTTTTTAATTATTTTATAACCTAGAACTATTTTTATTTGGACACATAACACTTAAAAAGAGTAAAACATTATTTAAATACAAAATTAAAAAAGTTGTGAAAAATATAAAATTGATTTTTTTACGTAGTTTAGATGAAAGGACTTATAAATTGAATAACATCATAAGTAAATTATTATTATTAAGTTTTTGTTTGTTAATACTTTGATATTATTTAACTAAAACAATTGTGAAAATTTATATTTAATTATTTTATACAAAGAAAATACCTAAAAAACAGGGAAATAAATAATTCCAAATAATAAATATGTATACCCCACTTATATAACCTATTGTTAGCACTATCATTATTTTTTGAAAAAGAAAATTAATGAAAAAAATATGCGTGCTGATTATACTATTATTAAAGATCTAAAAATATAAAAATATACATGTAATTGAATTATAATATAATTGTTATATATTAAAATAAAATTAAACTAAATTCTTTAATGATATAATAATACATAATTAGATAATATAATAAATACAAGAAGATTGGACAACTAAACATATCAGTTATTACTTGAGGGTGAGGGTTGTATAATTGACATTATAATCTGCATTATTTCATATCTCCGTTAATTTGAATTCTTTAATGATATAATATATAATTAGATAATATGATGATTTTGATGATAAAAGGTGTGTAAACATACAAAATGAATGAATACAATTTACTTAAGTGCATAAATTATTTCGACTTTTTTTAATATTTTTTTATTCTTCATATTCTTAATTGGTAAGATTAAGAATACAATTTTGATGGTAGTGGTTGCGGTGGTGGTGGTGATGATGGCTGTAGTGGTGATGGCGATGGCGGCGGTGGTGGTGGTGGTAGTGGTGACATCGTGGTGATGGTGGTGGTAGTGGCTCCGATGATGGTGGTGGTGGTTGGTGAAGGTGATGGTGATGGTGGTGGTGACGATGATGGTAGTGGTGGTGGTGGTGGTGGTGGCATGGTGGGACGACGGCGATGACAACAACACTGGTGGTACGACGGCGACGACAACGATGGTGGCAGTGGTTGTGTCGGGATAGTGGTGGTGGTGGTGGTGATGATGATGGTTGTCACACCCCATGTGCACCCGGTGTATTAGACATATATATGGCAATAGCGCAGCTAAAAAAATGCGGAAGCTAACTTTTTCTTTCCAATTATGAACTATTCATTATTAACCAAGTGGATTACTTATTTCTTTTCAAAATATCGTCTGTATGTAAATTGCAATAAAAGACTAACTGAATAACCTCATCAAATAAATATATATAATCACGGTACTACAACACGTAGACCAGACAATATCCAGATACACGTATGCAACTCCAACATAAACAAGCATGTCTGATAACAATGTGACATGGACAACCCCCATGCTCACCAAATAAAACAACGTAATCATCAAGTCTCCGATACAATAGCCATAAAACGAGGATCAGGCATAATCATATAAAACAGATAAAACAGTAAGCATGCATCAGTCAGCTTAACTCCGACCTCCTGCCACCAGAGGTCTCAACCTCAGAGGTACTTGTACCTGAAAATGTGCTCCAACACGGGGTGAGGTCTCCAAAAAGAAATCTCAGTAAAACAAAGGGTCCTCCAGGACATTTCCGCCCCAAGCTCACTTACAAGTATATCCATAAGTTCAAAAACAGGAATTACGATGCATGTTCATGTTAAAATAGTATAATCATGGCAACATATCAAATGCTCAACGAGCTAAGTACTACAATTCATATCTCATGTGATGTATGCAAGTGCGGTTCTACTGGCTAGGGAAACATGATAGGGTTTATGCACGTCTGCTACCTACCAACATGAGGGATGTTGCCTCATGCCTTGCACACCAGGGTTGCTGCCTGATCGTACAAGTACTAACATCACATTCATACATTACATCAACAGGTATATCATCATATCTCAGGCATATATCAATGCACATATTATTTTCATAAAAGCATATCATGCATATAAACCACCCTCTCATGGAGGCCGGTGGAACAAGCATCAGATCAATCTGAGGACCATAAACTTACCTCTCAAGCTATCAATCAAATCAAGAGTCCACACCAGCCCAAGGTCACCAAATAGCACAATCACAATCTGTTTAGACCAGAAACCTTATTAACATACATAATCTGGAAGTTCATTATATTACACAACATTTCTTTTTTCGTTTAACACCCTTAGGCTCCTTCCAAAGCCATAAGCCTTTAATCTAAGTGATTCTGACTTAGTTAAATTATTACAGAGGTTCATGCTAACCTCTTAAGGGTCCAGAAAACCCAATCCAAGCTTCTGTTTTGGCAGAACATTGCATAACTCGAAATTCCCAAAATATTCAAATATTTCACGGGGACATATCTGGATATCTCACACCCGATATTCGGATATCCCTATCCGGATATCCCTATCCGAATATCATATCCGAATATTTCGCGACAGAATGCAGTTTTGCATTTCACGAAGATATCCTTCCAAGACATCATTTCTAACACTTCTACACGTCCAAGCATGCATTTTTATACACATTTAAGTCAGTGTTCATGTTGGCTACTTAATCCTATCATTTTTCATGCCAAAACTTGATCTTTAATAAGAAAACTCATGAACCAAGTTAAGGAATATACCCCAAAGGCTCAAAACAGGGTAAAGGCAGTGGCTTGAAGCTTCTTATGCCACTCCACAGTGCAGCAAATACAAGGTCATGAATTTGACTCCACAAGTTGGTGTTTCTCCTTCACAAGATCACTTCTTAAACCCACAATGAGCAAGAAAATGGCTTCCACCTCCCTAACTCAGTGGGCAGCCCACAACTCAGAGCACACACTCTCAAGAACTCATTTTTCTCCTACCCCAAGGTTGCTCTCAAGTGTCTACAGGGTTAGAGATGAAGAATCCAAAGAAAATGAGGTGACTTGAGGGGTTTCTCATGCAAGGAAGGCCATGAAATGGTAAAAAGAAGGTTCAGCAGCCAAGGGAGTCACTACGTAGAGGCTGAAATATGGCCTAAGGTTTTGTGCACATTTAATATATATATGTGCACATTAATTAATCCATCGGTATTAGCATTAATAGTTTCGCTAATCATTTTAATCTCAAACTTCATATTCTGAACCCAGCCATTTTTTTAGGATTTATCATATTTTTATTATAATTTGCGTAGCAATTTGTCGGTACGCGTTTTTACGTAGCCGGTATCGGTTCTGACGTCAATTCTCATTATTATGACTTCAGACTTGATATACTTTTCCTAAATATTATTCTACGAATATTCATATACTTATTATAATTTTTCGGGATACTTCACCGGTACGCACTTATACCGTGAAGCAGAACCGGTATCTGCATTTTTCTTCAGAAAAGCGACTTTCAGCATTATTAAGCCCTTACTATAATTATTAAAGTCTTCCCACATTTATTCAAGGTCAAATATGGACTTATTCTCTTAAACTCATAATTAAACATTGAATTTCCTAATTTAACGGTGTGAATTCTTACATTCACCCCACCTTTTAAGAATTTTATCCGCAAAATTTGAGACATACATGTCCCTAAACTCGGGGTATTGTCGGAGAATCTCGTCCTCCCGCTCCCAAGTACACTCCTCTGGAGTTCTTCCTTCCCATTGCACCTTGACCATAGGAATGACATTACTTCTCAGTTTCTTCTCTCCACGATCAAGTATCTTTAGTGGTCCGACGGGAGACTTTAAGTTCTCCTGAACTTCCACATCATCAGGTTGCACCACGTGCGAAAGATATGTTATATATCTCCAAAGCTGTGACACGTGAAACACGTTGTGGATGTTGGCCAAGTTCAGAGGCAAGGCAAGCCGGTAGGCAACAGGCCCAAACCTACCAAGTATCTGGTATGGCCCCATGAATCTCGGGCTAAGCTTCCTCACTCCGAGGGCATGACCAACACCGGTGACAGGTGAAAGTCTCACAAACACGTGCTTACCCTCACTAAACTCCAATGGTCGATGCTTGTCATCATCGTAACTCTTCTGGCGATTCTGTGCCTGCTTTAGCTTTTCCCTGATCATCTGGATCTGCTGGGTAGTCTCTTGGACAAAGTCCAAGCTAAACAACTTTCTATCTCCAACCTCAGACCAACAGGTAGGAGTCTGACACCTCCTACCATACAATGCCTCATAGGGTGCCATGCCCAGGCTAGCATGAAAGTTGTTGTTATAAGAAAACTCAACCAATGGTAGGTACCGATCCCATGTTGAGCCCTGCTCCAATGTGCAAGCCCTCAACATGTCCTCCAATGTCTGGATGGTCCGCTCAGTCTGTCCATCAGTCTGAGGGTGATAGGCTGTACTCAATCTCAGCTGAGTACCAAAAGCTCCCTGCAGCGCCTCCCAGAACCGAGAAGTGAACTTCGGGTCCCTATCACTAATGATACTCCCGGGCACCCCGTGAAGCCTCACAATCTCGCGAACATATAGTCTGGCCAACTGCTATGTAGTGAAGCTCACCTTTACCGGAAGAAAATGGGCAGACTCAGTCAATCTGTCCACAATGACCCAGATAGAGTCACAACCAGC